GTGCCCAACCTCTATTGTCAGTGACAAAGACCCCAGGTTTTGCAGCGATGAATGACAGTCTTTCCATAAAGACTACCTCCATTCCAGACTAGACATGACTTTTGGCAAACATCCTGGACCCAATGGACAGGCTGAAATGATCATCTCAGTGATGAACCAAGTTTTGTTTCAACTGCTGCGTCTTGTGATCACACCTGATCAATAGGATTGGGACAAACATCTGTCAAGGGCTCAACTTATGTATAATACTTCAGTTCATAGCAGTACATGCTTACACCCTATAGGCTGCACTATGCTAGAGACCCAAGACAACCTCTTGACGATCTCATTGACAAAAGTAAGCCTAAAATAACTCTTGGGACTGCAGAATTCACCAAGAGTTATAAGAAAAACCTAGAGAAAGCCATAACTAACATGTTCAAGGCTTAGAAAAGGATGATAGAGCAGGCTAAGAAGCATCGTTCTCCCTCTTCTATTCGGCCTGGTCACTGGGTCTAGGTGAAAAGATCAGAGTTAATTGATGAACAGGACATATCACGAAAGTTGTTGCCTGTCTACTATGGCCCACGGCAGGTACTTGACAATGTGGGAGCAAACCCCTTCGGGCCTTCTTATGTGCTTGTTGTACCCCCACATATCAGGACCTATCCCGTCTTCCATGGCTAAAAACTGCTGCCTTTCACTCCTGCTCACGCGTTTCCTGATCGGCCGCCGCAGTTTGGACCTCCTATCCCTGGAAAGGGATATGAAGTTGAGAGCATTGAGGATCAATGGGGCACTGGCCCCGACTGTGTCAAGTTCCTTTTCCAACCTCATACTGAGGACCGTTGGTTAACAAAAAGGAACTTCTCAAGTCTGCAAATTCAGTCGTGTGGTTCTATGAGCCTGAGCAAAGTGGGAAATTGCCCAGGCGGTCTCCTCGTGGACACTCCTAGCTCGAGGTCCTCGCTCCCCGGGAGGGTAGGAATGCAATGAATTGTAGTGCTACAAGCGGGCTGTATACTAATTTTGTCCCGGTTGTCGTTGTCGGGACTTGATCCTACAACCTTTGTCTGCTGTGTTGCCTGTTTCCCTGCTGTTTGCTTGTTTTGAGCCTTGCGAGACTTGATCATGTGACTTGTAATTTGTGTGTGTTTTGTTTGTGAGTGTTGCGTCCCCTAGGACTCGATCCCTCTGTCACCAGTGGTCTCTGTGTGGTAGTCTTATGCCATTCGGCCTTTTCTTTTGCCTTGTCTTAGGTCTAGGTCCCTTTTTCCCGAGATTTCCATCCGGATACAGATGAGTTTTGGGCTGTTGCATGGGGAATCCCTGGTAGCCTCGTAGTCTTAGGCCATTCGGCCTTTTCTTTTGCCTTGTCTTAGGTCTAGGTCCCTTTTTCCCGGATTACCATCCGGGTACAGATGAGTTTTGGGCTGCTGCATGGGGAATCCCTCGTAGCCTCGTAGGTCTAGTCTGTGAGTCTAGAAGTAGCGGGAGGAAAATAAAGTTGGGGCCTTTTCACGTTTTCGTTGGCTGGGGAAACTCTGCCCGTCCGTTGTTGGAGCGCTGCTGCTCTATTTTGGGCGAGGTCATCTTCTTCCTCGAAGCCCAGCCATGGCTGGGGTTGGGAAACGAAGTTGAAGATCGCACTGCCGCTATTTCGCAGCTCTGCACGAGAGCTTCCGCAGGCTGTGTTGTTGGGTTTGGGCGCTGCCATTCTCCACTAGGCAGCCATATCTGCTGTTCCTCCTCACAAGGAACTTCATCTTATTCGAACTGCTGGATCGGTTGTCTCCTTCTTCATCAGGACTTCCAGCGCTGCACTTCCGTGCGGGCGCTGAGCTGGCGCTGCTATCATTGGGGTTGCCAGTTCAGATTGGCACGTTGTGACAGCTTTGGGGTTACTGCTGCTATGGCAGCCATAGCCAGGGGTATGCGGCTGCGAGGAGGAAGAAGAAGACTCCTGCATACATTTGTTGAACACTTGCTTTGGTTGTTCGGGGTTGTTGTAAACGCGGTTGTGATTCTTGGAACAACTACTCTGGATTGATTGGAGGACGGGGGATTACAGAATTGAAATTCGTTTTTCAATTCTCTGTGTATTTTGAGCTTCCGCTGTGCATATCTTCTCTCCAGTTTTGTGTGGATTCGCCTCCTTCGAGTCTACTCTGCAATTGCATGCATGTATGGGAATGTGTGAGTTCGTTGTGGATTGAAGTTCAATGGGGTACATAACAACAAAACGCACCCTAATTTTGTAAATTTGGGGACATATGCAAACCTGTCTCTTGGAGGAAGAGAACACACATCCATCCTATGGGTCCGATGATGGAAGAGCACACATATCCATCCTAACGGTTCGATGCTGAAACTCCACACAGAACAGCAAAGGTGTGTTCACCTACCATTGCAGAAAAATGCTGCTACGTGCTTGTCATGACGGAGAACTTGCTGGGGACAACCAACCCACTCTTGTCCAGCACGGCTCTGCTTTGCGGATCATTGTCAGCAACACAGCGAGGTCTGTTGATGTGAGCGTACCGCTTCGTGCCTGCCGCATGCAGGGACGGAGGGAAGAGGATGCTGTTGAAGACAAAGGTGTATTGGGAACCACAAGGGGGTACACAATTTCGACTGCCGTATGAATCGCGGTGCTGTCCAAAGGCCTTGAACCCGCACCACCAGTACATGCAATGCAACGGTGGGGGTTTGGCTATTGTCAGCCTCCTGGATTGGGGAAGATATCTTGCAAACTGTCACAGTCAGGTCAAAAAACAAATGGGGCTTTTTGTTGGCCCGGATATCAGCACCAGGCTGGGTACATATATCGTGTAAACCTATTCCCTGGCACCTGGAATGAAGCAGCTCCAATAAACTCCAACACGCATCATCACAGAAAGCTCACACCACACAAGAGAGATGGTGATTAGCCCAAACAGAATTGGTTGCTCCCCAAAGCATCTGAATTACACAAGTTCCAAGCATATATTACGATGTACTATGGCCACTATCGCCATCACACCACACAGGTAAACTCGCTCATCTCTCCCTCTCTCTCTCTCTCTCTCTCTCTCTCTCTCTCTCTCTCCCCCCTCCCCCCCCCCAAAGCATCTGAATTACACAAGTTCCAAGCATATATTACGATGTACTATGGCCACTATTGCCATCACACCACACAGGTAAACTCACTCATCTCTCTCTCTCTCTCTCTCTCTCTCTCTCTCTCTCCCCCCCCAACCATCATCTCACAGTGACATCTCCACTGTAGATAGGACAATCTATATGAGAGACTCAACGGACATAGCCTGTCATGAATGACAGTGTACGTATGCTCTTTCCTTCCCCCTGCCCCTGATGGAGTAACCTCACATCCCTTGTGACTTAAAGAAACATAGCGCACACAACAAAACCTCCTTCGACAGCAACCCGGGTTTTATGTTTTGCACACTACAGACACTCACTACTCACTACAGTGTGCCAAATGGTACACCATTGCAATCTGTCTGATCGCAGGTTAACATTAAGGTTCAGAATTTTCTTTTAAAAGTAATAAAAACTCGTAAAAAGGGAATAAAGCACGGACAGCTGATCCAACCAACAGGTTTGCGATGTGCAATCCACCCCAACAATCTATAATTCAATACATGCACAGGTGTGCATCATAGACAGGTGTAGATCATAAGACACAGGCATACATCATTAGACACAGGCGTACATCATTGTGTCAAATGTAATCACACATTATGGCAGGCAAGTAAGATGAAAATGGATTCCATGTTACAGGCGATGCTTTTGAACTGTCAATTCACTTGATGGCACAGTCACGAGGAGAGAAAGCAAAGGCCATTCTCCAAGCTCAAAGGCTCTCTCAGCGAGCCATCTCCCAACCGGTGCAACGCTCGTGCTAAGAAAGCACGAATCTGGCCAATTTCCCAGCCAGGCTCATGCTTCCTAAGCACGAACATAGCACCAGTGGGGCCTGGCCCTCAGTTCATTTGAACCATCCAAATTGTCATGTGGTTGAAGGAAATGGTAGACAGCCTACGAGAGCTCTTTCTTTTTCTTTCCTCTTCTTCCCCCCCCCGCTCCCCGAAAGCTCTTTCTATTTGGCTCTTCCGAAAGGATTCCTCCCCGCCCCCTCCCAATGTTTTGCTTTGTTTGTCCTCTTCCATATGAGCAGGCAAGTGATCAGGGTCTCTCCATTAAGGGCACCAAAACCTTCTTGTGGCTTAGGCGTACGTCGTAAATGACAAAATGTACTAACGCACATGCTGTTGCTATTGACAAACAGATCAAGAGTTCAATTCGTGTTGGATACAATTCTAGTAGGGGCTGCCCCTTTTTTTACGTCTTTCTCTGGAACAAAAGTTCGAACGGCGTTCAATATAAACAACAGAAACATTTCTGGATGCTGCAGAGCCTCGGCAGAGGCGAGAAACACGAAAATCACTTGACATGCTCGAGTGGCAGCAACTGAGTAGCTTAAACCACCAGTACTTGGCCCAGTCAATGCTCCACGAGGTGGCTGTTAACGCGCTACATCTGGCGGGATGCATTGGCCTGCCATTTTGCTTGTTAAACATCCAGGCGAAACAGGACCATGGCGAAAGTCGTTTTGCCTGGATGTTTTACAAGCGAAATGGCAGACCGCTGCATCCCACAGGATGCAGCGCGTTAACGGCCCCTGTGCCGTAGCAAATTGGCTGGGCCAAGTAGTGGTGGTTTAACCATGGTGACCACTCCCTCTCCTTCCCTTCCTGGCCGCCTACTTTCAACCCTTACATCCATTTCTTCGTAGGGTCACTGCATCCCTCCCGATCTTCAAATCTTCATATCTCCATCCGCCCTTGCACCAGAAAAACGGCCACCTCTCCCACTGCTACAAATGATAGACTGCTGAGACTCTGGATCCAGAACAAGAGAAATCCTGCCGTCCCTGTTCTGTCCTTGCAGCATACCTCTCCTCAGGTAAGAATCTAACCTTTCTTTTCTTAAGGGGCTAAAAGCAGAAGTTTTGTGGCAATGTAATGATCAATTCATTTGCTAAATGAGCAAAAAACTTCTAGAAATGTATATACACCTCTACTCATTGAGAATCAATATGTGGCCACCTTAATCGCAACCGTTCCCACACCGACATGATTAATTCCTAAGTTAGCAAGTCCTTGCAGTCCCCACTATCAACATCTTACCCAGTTAAATTCCCTGCTATTCGACGCCTTACCCATTGAATTTTTCATCTATCAAGGCCTTACCCATAAAAAATCAGCATCGTAATCCGAATAATCGCCATCCATGGAGACTTCGCCACCATCATCATCAATTGCATCCGTTCCCATGCCGGCATGATTAACTTCGTTAGCAGGTCCTTGCATTCCCAACTATCGACACCTTACCCACCTAAATTCACAGCTATTGAGGCTTGCTTACCCATTGACATTCTCAACTATCGACGCCTTACCCATCTACAGTCAACATTGTCATCTGAATCCCCACCATCCTTAGAGATTTCATCATCATCATCATCATCATCAGCATCAGCATCAACATCAGCATCATCGTAGTCGCCATCATGTTTATAGTAATCGTCATCCTTATGATACTCGTCATCGTCATCATCTCCATCGCTTGTTTCACCACCTGACCCCTCCAATTCCTTACCAAAGCTGTCGTCATCATCGTCGTCCTCCTCCTCCTCTTCCTCCTCCGGATAATCGTTCCTAGGATTGTTCTCATCTGTCGACAGAGGTGAGGCAGACCAAAAACGTATGTAATTAGCGGGAGCTGAAGTAATGAATTCTCACCAACGCTCGGTTGGTCCAGACCTGAGTTTGAATGCAAAAAAAAAGAAAAAAAGAGGAGTCATGGATTCTATCATTCTAGGATAATAGCAAAGGTATCCCAAAAAAATGCAGTCATCCATCAGCGAGCGACCGGTATAGGCATTCAGCCATGGCAACAACCTCACCACCCTGCTTGGGAGATCACCTGCCAGAGATTATTACATTTACAAGTTTACATCCTAACCCCTAACCCAGGATTCACCTAGATTAGATTAGTGGAGAGCTGTGGGATGAGCTCAACAGCCGTACTTTTTTTTTTTTTTTTTCAACTCAACAGCCATACTATGTACCGCTGTAAGCCACCTGCAGACCACTGTCAGACCACTGTCAGACCACTGTCAAGGCAAGGCAAAAGAGGCGTGCCCTAAACCCTAAGCCCCTGAAACCCTAAATCCGACACCCTTGTCCCCTAAACCCTGAATCCCCTGTAAGCTACCTGCACTGTCAAAGCAAGGCGAAACAGGCATTACCCAACCCCCATAGCCCCTAAGCCCCTAAACCCTACACCCTACACACTTATACTTTAAGTCCTAGACACCCCTGTAACCCACCTGCGGCCTCCGTCAAAACAGGCATAACCCTTAACCCTAAATCCTAAGCCCCTAAATCCCTAAACCCTGCACCCTACACCTTTACTATCCCCTAAAATGAATAACCCCCCTGGAGACCATTGAAAATTTAAAATTGATAACTGTCTTTAATCTTTTATTATATTGATTGCAAAATAGAAGATTGTAAAATTCTGATAAATAGTCAATTTTTGTTATTTCTTCATCTTTTAATTCTTACTGATGTAAAATAGTACAAATAAAAGAACATCTATGATTTCTTGTAGTTAGTTAATACAATACAAAATTAATCTAATCTGTATAAATTACCAATATCATTTTCTTGATGATAGTGATTTCAATCCCGTAAATAAATTAGTGAATTGGAAACTGATTAATTATTCTTCTTAACTCTTTCTTTATTCAAAATTTTCAATTTTTATCTAAATCTTAATAATGATTCCCATATATCCGGCTCAACCTATGATTTGCTTAGGAATTCTTTGGATAACCCTTAAAAAAAAAAAAAAAAAAAAGACTACACCTTTATCCCCTAAACCCTTTACTGAAACGGTTTTCACCTATCTGCAGTCACAGATGCGGGCCCTAGATTCGATCCCCAGACCTCACTTTGCCCATGTACAGTATCGAGTCGACACCCGAGTATTTGAACCCGTGATCTGTGTTTTGGCAGTGTTTGCTGTCTGTGGTCTGTGTAGTGGTAGGGGTTCGATCTGTAGGTCTGTGGATTAGGAGTCACAGCTTTGTAGAGGTCGTAGCTGTAGGTATTCTGAAAGGTCAAGGTCGTAGCTGCTACAGTCCTGAAAGGTCAAGATCATAGCTGCTACAGTACCCGAAAGGCCAAGCCCACAGCCTTCCGGAAGGTCCGGAAGTGGCCTTTCGAAGTGTCTCACGTTTAGTCAGAGGCAAGTGGGCAAGTGGTAAGCCAACTGCGTTACGTTGGCAGTGCGACTGCATTGAGTTGGCAGTGCAATCCCATGCAGTCAGCGGCACCGGTCCCAGTCAGTCAGAGTCCAGTCAAGCAAGTACCGTGCGGGACTGTGTGCACCAAGGGCCTGGGAAAGGGGCAGACCAACGAGTTACAGAAGTATAAATCAAGAGGGAGCGCCCAGCCATTCATTCATTCGCGGCGTAAGCCATGCGGAAGCACTGCTATAGCGTCTTGTGCGAGGTGGTCTGCAGGTGGCCCGAACTCGAAGTGGGCTTGAGGAAGACAGCATAGCCATAGGGGTAGTAGTGAGCGGCTATAGATTAGAGGTAGCTGTTAGTGTGTGTGTGTGTGTGTGTGGGAGACCGAGTGAGTGTGCGTGGAGTATTCAGGGTGATCCAGAGTTCGGTGTGAACAGTGGGGTTGAACGCAGTGACGAGAGTTGTGACGAAAAGGCGCTGTTGCGCCATAGCCTGTTGAAGCGAGTTAGCATCCAAACTGCGTTCTCGGTTGCCATATCTCTGAGCTTGGTGTGGGCGCTGTGCGCCAGTGTGAATCGCCATCTGTTTGCGTGTATGCAAAGTGGTAAGTCTGATTGCATTGGTATCGGAGCTGGTATCCGCTACTTCACGCGCCATCGCCGTTGTCCATAACTGGCGCCATAGCCGAAGCTGTGCCATCAAAGGAGGAAGTTCGCCATAGCTGCGCCGTCGAAGAGAAGTGCCGCGTACCTGTAAAGAAGACAACGGCGCGCGCGCGCGCGCG